CCATAAGTCGAACTTTGCAAACAATCTTGCTCTTTGTTGCAGTGGCCATGGATCTCATGATGATCATGGGAGCTGTCACCGGACCGGTTGGTTGGACCTTGAACGTACTGAACTTTGCGGCGGCCGCTGGATTTGCGATCTATGCATTTAAGCAAAAAGTGCCAAAGGGACCAATTATGGAAGGATTCGGAGTCGTAAGTTTTCATTCTCATTCTCATTTTTAGTTTACATACCTTACAAGTTCCTGTAACGGCTTCAATAATAATAAATCCCCTCATCACAGTGGACAGATGTCGTCTTCCACTTGGCGAATGTAGAGCGAGATGCCCACGATGCTCTCTCAAACGCTGTCAAAAAAGTCATCAATTCACCCATCAGCTCCAAAGACGGTATTTACGGTGTCCTGAAAGGTGGTACATTCATGAACACAGCAAAGCTTAAGCCCATCCCCGAGGTGGCAGATCAATTGCGCAAGGTCACCATGGCGATGTCCATGAACTTGGTGCTACGTGATATGGTAAATTTTGCGTTTTACTCTGCTTGATTCTCATGCGATGATGTCGGAAAAATTCACCGTGATTTAACTTACGAAAAAAAAAAAAAAAATGTGCTTCAGAATGCGTATATAGCAGTTGGTGCCGATGTAAGAGCTTTTTCTACCAATTCATTCACTTCTTCAACCATCTATTGACGAAATTTACCTCCGAAATCACAACAGGATTGTTACGATAAAGGACCAAATGGCGCCTGGCCTCAGAAAGACTTATTATCATACTGTCCCAAGCAAGGAGGACCGTAAGCATCTTCCAACAAAACTCTGTCTCATTCAGTTTAAAACCAAACCCAAAAATCACATCGCATCTTCCTGACCAAAAAAACAAACAAAAACAATGTTAATTTCGCCACCGAAGGATGTACAACATCATCCGCGCCGTTGGTGAGAAATCAGAAAATAACATCCCGAACGCCAACGTGATCAACGACATCTTCGGCTTCCCTACTCAATTGATAGTCGACGTTTCTGTTGACTGCCAGCAAAGACACGGCGGCTTCAATCATAATCCATATGTCAATGGGTTCGTTCTTCTTTCACGCTATTTCCCTTCCTAATTAATCGGGTTATCAAGAGCATATCGCTAAGAGAAAGTGGACATGCTATTTATCATTGCAGTAAATTCCCAAAATCCGAACACGATGAGTGCGTTTTCAATCTCCCAGTATGCGATGCTCGATGGGGAGGTAAGAATTCCCCTCCTTCCCCATTTTCAACCTTTTCTTCTCGACGAAAATCATCTTGCAAAATTTTAAGATCACTTGTGGCTAATTTCTAACATATTCATCGTTTCAAAAAAAAAAAAAAAGGTGTGCGCTCTAGTATCAAAAAACATCACCAACACGTAACTGTAGCCTGTAGGAAACATGGGGGCCTGCCAATCTGAAGATCATCATATCCGCCGTGGCGCATTTGTTGTTGGACATTAAGATACCCGCAGTAAGGACTTGAATTTATAATCTTTCATTCATTCATTCAATGTAAAAAAAATCTTTGTAATCAACCGTGTGAAAAACAAAATTGAAATCCACATCCCATAAAAAAAGTTGAGAGGTAGAGGTCTCAGTGAATACATACAATAAAGGGGATCAATGAAAGGAGGAGATTGTTGTAAAAAAAAAAGGCTCAAAACAAAGCCATAAGTGCTAATGGAATCACAGAGCAAGCTCACTGCGAGAAAATCTCAAGAAACTTCCGCCAGTTGACATGCAGAAACTCAAGAACCTAAAATCTGATGGTTTGGAAACCAGGATGTTAGGGCACGACCTTTGTAAACTAGCGATGAGAGCAAGACAACTGTCAACCTAACGGCGAGCAAGACGAAGAGAGTGTGGCGAGTCGGAGTGAGACACAAGAACAAAATACTGGATAAATCAAATCGATTCATTTCTAACCTGATGGTTTCCAAACCAGGGCATTAGGGCACAACTTTTGTGAGCTAACAGTGAGAGCAAGACAACTGCAAATCTGAGAAGAAATGATGATGAGAGAAACAACACCAAGGAGAGAGAAATGAGGAGAACAAGCCCAATGGTGAGCAAGACAAAGAGAGTTTGTGGCAAGTGAGACACAAGAAAGAAAGACTTCGAATGAGGAAAGAAAGACAACAACAATGAGGAAATGAAACTCCTTTTAAACAATTGATACACTCCAAACTAGGTTCAACTCCATGTGCCCGTCTGCACCACATTGGGGTGAGAATGAATCCCCAAACGGTAAGCTCACCAGAAACTCTCTTGAAAATTGGTTTGTTACTTTGACATTACTCAACCATTCCTTCAGCCATAGTCTAATGCACAGTCACTTTGCAGAGATTTTTACATTTGGATAGTCATTAGATTGCAGATGGTATGAGTTGCATTGGGAGGAAACTGCATGTCAACTGACTGCAACAAGCTGGTCAGATTTTTACATAGTTAAGAGGACATGTACAGCCCCTTGACAGAAAAAATGGAACCCTTTGATTGGAGTCTAGAGGGCAAACCAATGGACTTGAATTTATGCTTCCTGGTGAAAATGTTTAAAATGAGTTCTAAAGAATGATTCTGACATATTGGATAGGAAAATGTTTTGTGATTTGTTTTTTATAGGGCCTTAATAAAAAAACCCGCATTTTCCGCGTTTTGACGCGGTTTCTGCTGCGCGCAGCACACGCGCATTCCGCTTTTAAACCCGCTTTTTTAATTAATTTTTTACCGCTTATTTTTTGAGTTTTTTTGAATTTTTAAAATTGTTTCCTATGTTTTAAAGCGTGTAGAATTTAATGGCAAAAACCATTTTTCATAAAAATGAATTTTGATTATTAATTATTTTTTTTCACTCATTTCTCAATTAATTGTTTGCATACATGTATGTACCTTATTTTTTATGTTTTTTTAAAATTTTAAATTTATTTCCTAGGTTTTAATATGCGTAGAATTTAATGGCGCAGTCCAATTTTTTTAAAACTCAACGGTTCACTTTTAATACTCAAATTACACCCATTTTTTCACTTAATTTTTTACAGCTTAATTTTCATCATTTTTTGACATTTTAAATTTATTTCCAACACTTTAAGACATGTAGAAAATGATGGTATCAAAATTTTTTCCCCAAAACGAAAAATACATCTTGAATACTGCATTTGACACCGTTTTTTAATTGAATTATTCACTTTTTCACTCAATTGTTTGTGTTAGTTTTTTTACCTTATATTTTATGCTTTTTTGAAATTTTAAAGTTGTTTCCTACATTTAAACGTGTGTAAAATTTAATGGTAACATTCAATTCCCATAAAGCTCAACGGTTCATTCTGGATACTGTAATTAGTCATATTTTTCAATTGATTTTTAAGAGCTTAATTTTCATTATTTTTTGACATTTTAAATTTGTTGACTACACTTTCAAATAGAGATGGTCGTGTTGCATCCGGATATCCGCGCGGATGCGGATATCCGGTTGCTTTTTCCGGGGAAAGCGGCATCCGCACCCGCATCCGCATCCCCTGGCGGATATCCCCCCGCCCTAGCGGGTATCCGAGCAGATATCCTCGGATACCCGCCCTCTAAATGGCCGGCGAGGCACATCCTCGCCGGCTGGAAAGGTAGCCTTCCAGCCGGCGAGGATGTGCCCTTCCCGGATTGTAGGGGGCTTTTCTCCGGGGAGAT